TCAATGATATTGTCTCAGGTTCCACTTTGCAAATAACCATTGAGAAACTACCACTTGTGTAGTTTTATTTTAGTATCAAAGTTGAATATTCACAATTATCTGAAAAAGTTAGTAAAAATAGTACTCCTTCATATTTGTGTGAGGCTGTATTTGTATTTTTTCATATACTTCAACCAAAATAACAGATTAAATGCAGAGCAAATATGAAAATCCAGTGGTCTTCTAATGAGACAGACGAAAAAGAGACTTGCAAAAACGTAAAATGTAAAAACACTCACTCTTCTCACTACCTTGTTTGTTTGGGGAAATAGTCATTTTTCATAAAAGCATTATTTCTGTCAACTTGCAACGGGTTATGAATATTATTCTAAACAAATTAATAAAACCTTTTAAAAACTTTTTTATTCCTAACATGGTAAATATTGACAGATATAACCAACATAAAATTATCCTTGGGGTCCTCTCTAATTAGTAAGACTATAGATTTCTTGAAACCAAAATAGTTGAGAAGCGCTGACTCAAACAGTCCCTGCACCAGGCCTCAGAGAGACAGTGTGACAAAGAGCTCTCGGTGCAGGAGAGGGGTCAGGGCAAAGTCTCAGGTCCCCAGGTGTGGCTTTCAGAGTCTAAGGCGGGGAAGCTCGGTGTTGAGGAGCCCTCATCGCCCTGAGTTTCACTTCTGCCTCTCACAACCTGTCAGGTCCTCCTGCCTGGAGACTCATGACGCGGCCCCAGTTCTCACTCCCATTGCGTGTCCAGTTTCTAGAGAAGCCAATCAGCGTCTCCTCGGTTCCCGGTTATAAAGTCTCCACCACCGTCCGGAACTCAGATTCTCCCCAGACCGCGAGGATGAGGGTGATGATGCCTCCAACCTTCCTCCTGCTGCTCTCGGGGGCCCTGACCCTCGCCGAGACCTGGGCGGGTGAGTGCGGGGTCGGGAAGAAACGGCCTCTGCGGGGGGCGGGTGAGGGGACCGCGCGGCGGGGGCGCAGGACCCCCGGGGAAGGCGCGTCTCCGCGGACACCCGCCCAGACACCCCACCTCATCCCTCCTTGTCCTGACCCCCACCTTCTCCCGCCCCCTCCTGTCACCCACTTGGGTCTCCCGCCGCCCCTTTTCCGTCTCACGACCCCCTCGCCCCCTCCTCCCTCCCGGCGCCATCACCCTCGGACCCGGGACCCGCGCCGGGAGGAGGGTC